AGGGTTTAACCCATTGTGCCACTGGGGGCTCCTTAGGCTCCAACTTAGGTTGATGAATATAGAAGTCAACAGGCTATGCCTAATAACTGGATACAGACTAATGCATGAAAAACTAAATAAAAAACTAGAATGCTGAGCTTATACACTTAAATACTAAACAGCAAACGTTCTCCATAACTCATTGCGTCTTCATCAAACTTTTCTTTGTGTACATTTTAACTGCAATAAATAAATATGAGATTGATTCCTTATTAAAAAGTTCTATAAATAATTTTACTTCTGTTTAGATGTTTTCTAATAGTTGGTGGCATAATTTTGCTGTTTGTTGTTGTTGTTGTTCATTCGTTCAGTCGTTTCCGACTCTTTGTGACCTCATGGACCAGCTGTTACCCATTGGCTAAAATCAATAATCAAAAGCATGCTTTCATCACATAATTTTAGCATTTGGACAAGGGAAATGAAATACTTGCTATCCAAAACAGCAGCTTAAAACAAATTTATTTTGGTGGATGTTATTAAATCCATTCAAAGACTTAATTTTGCAAATAACAACTATAGTAGTCACACTTTCTCAGTTCAAACTAATTAAACACTGAAAATCCGTTGTTTGTTGTTTATTTGTTTAGTGTCCCCCGACTCTTTGTGACCTCATGGACCAGCCCATGCCAGAGCTCCCTGTTGGCCATTGCCACCCCCAGCAACTTCAAAGTCAAGCCAGTCACTTCAAGGATGCCATCACTCCATCTTGCCCTTGGCTGCCCTCTCTTCCTTTCTTCTTCCATTTTCCCCAGCATCATCATCTTCTCCAAGCTTTCCTGTCTTCTCATTATGTGGCCAAAGTACTTCATCTTTGCTTCTAATATCCTTCCTTCCAGTGAGCAGTGGGGCTTTATTTCCTGGAAAAAGGACTGGTTTGATCTTCTTGCGGTCCAAGGCACTCTCAGAATTTTCCTCCAACACCACAGTTCAAAAGCATCTATCTTCCTTTGTACAACCACCAAGAACTTGCCACAATTTATTATGATCCATACAGTCAAAGGCTTTAGAATAGTCAATAAAACAGAAATAAATGTTTTTCTGGAACTCCCTGCTTTTCTCCATTATCCAGAGGATATTGGCAATATGGTCTCTTGTTCCTCTGCCTTTTCGAAACCTGGCTTGTACATCTGACAACTCTCTCTCTATGTATTGCTGGAGTCTACCGTCCAGGATCTTGGGCTTTACTTTATTGGTATGTGAAATAAATGCCACAGTACAATAGTCTGAGCATTCTTTAGCATTTCCCTTTTTTTGGTACGGGGATACGAGTTGATTTTTTCCTAATCTGATAGACATTCTTGTGTTTTCCATATCTGCTGGTATATGGCATGTATCACCTTAACAGCATCATATTTCAAGATTTTAAACAGTTCAGCTGGTATCCTGTCATCTCCTGCTGCCTTGTTATTACCAATGCTTCTTGAGGCCCATTCATATAATTCCATTATATTTACATATGAAATACAGTAGGATATTTTTATAGTAATTTCTTAGATGGAAAAAAAAAGCTTCAAAAAGAGGTACACAGCATGCTGTGCAAGCAAACCCATATGTGGGAGGGGGAAGCAGAATAAGTTAGCTTTATTTATCTGCTTCATTCTACTGCCTAAGTACCAAGTAATAATGCCATAATTGAGATCTTACAAACCAAGCAAAGTGAGGCATTCTATTTGACTCTCTATTGGACTTGATGGCTCATGCGGTTATTCCAACTCAATGATTCTATGATTTCTTATCTGCAGGGATCCATACAAGAGAGTTGGGACTGGGACAGTAGGCAGATGGGCTTTGGAGTCCCATTTTTATCAGGGACAAATATTAACCGTTACCTACTGGTACGGTGAAGGGTTATTTTGTAGGACAGTGTGGGTATCCCTTATCTAAAATGATTGGGACAAGAAATGTTCTGGAATTAGAATTTTATCATTTTTGTTGTTGTTGTTGTTATTGTGGATAACTTACATACATAATGGGATATTTTGGAGAGAAGATCTGAATCCAAATATTAAATTAATGTATGTTTCATATACCCTTTATTCTATATATTGCCTGAAGATAACTTTATTTAGTATTTTTAATAACAAAGTTGTATACATTGAACCATCAGAAAGCAAAAGGGTCACCATCTTAGCCAGTCCTAGAAACTGGAATGTTTTGAATTTTAGATATTGGAATATTTTGGAACTCCAGATAATTTATATATTTACTATATTTATATACCGTCCCACCCAGCCCGAAGGTGACTCAGGGCAGTTCACAGTCGGTACCAAGACCGGGATGCTCAACCTATAGTGACTTTGCTTGATACATTGATTTGGTAGTTTGAGCTTGAGAAACAATACGAAGAAGTCTGGGAACAGATGGGAGTAGTGCGTTTTCCTCTGTTATTAACCTGTCTGCATAGTTTTCAAAGCTTCAGGGTAAGAGGAGGAGATTGGTCTTGTTTGCACAATTATTTGTTTTTGTTTGTTTTGGTTAGCTCCTGCACTATATAATCCTCAAGACTTCATCTTCCATCAGTCTCACCCCAGAGGGTGCCAGAGTCTCCTCATTTAATCAGCCATATGAAACTCTATTCTAAACCAAGAATACTCTGTGTTGAATCAGCTGTTTAGAACCAATGTCTACCATTAGCTGTGAAGTGATGCTGGACTCCATCAGCAAAACAACTGCAATGTTTATCTACTGTATACCTCACTGTTGCTACATTCTTTATCATGAATAAAGCTTATTTTGGAGAAATAACTTGTATTCACCAAGTCTTGCAAAGGCTTTGAACTATACTCAGTTCGAGAAAATACCACTACAATTTGACTTATAGACAAGCAACCACAACAAGAAATATCTCTCCCACCCATGGCAACTACAGAGCTAAGTGAAAAGGGGACAGACAGCTGAAGCAGTGGAGGCTTCTCCTAGAATTCTGCTCAGTTTCAGAAATCTTACTGAGAGAAAAACTATGGAATGAAAGAACAACAATAGCATCTCTTCTCTCTCAGCATTCAGGGTGCTTTTGTCATAGAATCTCTTTGTTATATTCTGTCATAATGGGTCTAATCATTTTACTCAGACAGCTGCTTGGCAAACCCCAGAACATGTATCACATCAGTCCAAGACTTAGACCTAACATGATTCCAGCACAGTGACAAAGGACAGAAATCTTATATATAACTCAGACTTTGCAGGTTTACTTATAATCTACTTTTAAAAAAGTAAGAATACTTCATGTGCACTTCATCTGATGAAAAGTCACATCTTGATCTGTTAAGAAAAGATATTGATCTACCTCCAGGCACAGTGGAGCTGTAAATAGTTATTGCATTTTATGACTTAAGGGATTAAAAAAAGAAAGCTGTAAACTCTGAATGTCCCTCTTTTATTTGTTCAAACACTTCAAGGCAAATTTATGTTCTTTGATATTGCTATTAGTTTACTGCATGTGTGAATGCACACCCTTGCACCTATATAGTATGTGTAAGTAAACACATACGTAACACATATTATATGTGTATGTGTATGCATGTGTAGAGAAGTGTTCATTATACTGTGTTTCAAACTGTGTTTAGGCTTTACATTGTGGCCAGGGCCTAGCTGAGAGAGAGAGATAGGTTGCCATGGTGACAAGCCAGAGGAGGTGGGCGGAGCTTAGGTAAAAAAGGTTTGAAAGCGACAGTTTATTTTCAGTCAGGCGGATGAGACCCTGAGGAGAGTAGCAGAGTCAAGGAGGCTCTGTGGAGTAGTGTAAATTCAGTTAGTTCTTAGGTTTTGTGAATATTATTCCAGCTAGGAAGCTGAAGGTGGAAACTCGTTAGATTGCTTGAGTAGAAAAGAATCTAACAAGAAAGGGTTTCAGGGATCCCAGTGGTGAAAATCTGGAGATCGTTGGTTTGATCCGGTGAAGGACAAACAGTTGTAAATATTCACAATAGGGAACACTGAAATAATAAAGTACCTCACTGTAGAAAGAGTTAAAGGATTGTAACATCGGAAGACTTAATGTAACTCAACCAAGCCATTTTGTATCCATCAAGCTTGTGCCAAGTTCAACAGTTTAATTTTGCAACAATTTACGCTCTGATAACAATAAACCTGTTCTTTTTGTGTTTTAAACTTGCCTCCTTCACTGTTTTCCACGTTTGAAGCATTCCACACTACCCAAGGTGCCTCACAACACAGATAAGGACAACCAGAGATCATTTTTACCAATATCACTTATATTATGGTGGCAATTTAAGCTAGAAGTCTCAAATCTTTATTACATCTGTGTGGTGATCCTATTTATTTGGGATTTTACACCATTATTTCATTTTGGAGACTTCCTCACATATTTTGGTGGCAGCAAGTGAACGGTTTTAAATTTTTAGTAACAAGCGGTGGGAGACACGGCTTCGCAGCATGTATATTCTGTACTGTCCTCTGAAATTACATGGAGAGCAATATTAACCAAAAAGACTATGTTTCCTGATTCCGCATTCTTTTTATTACACCACCTTTCAGATTACATAACCAGAAGAAGGGAAAAGTGCTTACAAAAGAGCAGGAGAGAAGAGATGAGATAAACTACTTATTGGATTGTTTGTAAAGTAAGGTATGTATTTTAATAAAAGGTTATCAAGAGCCCTGTCCAAAGCAAGAGATTACTCATGTACTTAACTTGCTGATAACTGGTGCAAAAAAGGGCCACAAATTCATTAAAAAAAGATAATCTATTCAGGACTACTATTGCTTTTTATAATCCTTTTTGGTGTGGTTTCCAGTATTCCAAGACCTTTATGTTCTGTTTTTGTAGTTTCCCTTGTAAGTAAACCTGTGCATGATGAAGCAGACAGCTTTTTTAAGTTTCATCTTAGGCATCTACCTTTCAGTATAAATACATGATAAAGCATGCTGTTAAAAGGCTGTTGCAATGGCACAATGACTAACAATAAATATGCAAATAAAGCAACAGAAATTCAGACTACCTGCACCAACTTCTTTTTCTTCCTCCTCTATGTTGTTCTTGATACTATCATATTCTTCATCAATTGTTTGATTTCCCCGCATCCGAGACAGGATTCGACGTGCTTTTTGAGTCTGCCCTTTTTGAATAAGCCAGCGGGGACTTTCAGGAAGAAAAAGGAAGCCAAAAAACTGTATTACAGCTGGAATTGCTGAAAGACCCAGCATATACCTGGAAGAGGGTGGAAAGAAAACAAACGTGTCTGTTTTAAGTCAGATTTAGCAAAATTCTTTTCATAGGCAACAGCAAGGCTTTAAGGTAGGGGTCCACAAACTTTTTAAACAGAGGGCCAGGTCACAGTCCCTCAAACTGTTGGAGGGCTGGATTATAATTTGAAAAAAAAAAAGAATGAATTCCTATGCACACTGCACATATCTCGTACACAATACAATAATTAAAATGAAGAACAATGTTAACAAATATAAACTTATTAGTATTTCAATGGGAAGTGTGGGCCTGCTTTTGGCTGATGAAATAGGATTGTTGTTGTTGTTGTTGTCGTGTGCTTTCAAGTCATTTCAGACTTAGGTTGACCATGAGCGAGGGCTGGGTAAAGGTCCTTGGAGGGTCGTATCCGGTCCACGGGCCTTAGTTTCAGGACCCCTGCTTTAAGGTGTTAGCTACTTTTTGATACACACTGTTTTCTCTCTAAATAAGTACAGTATATTCTGGCATATAAGACTACTTTTTAACTCAAGAAAATCTTCTCAAAAGTCAGGGGTCGTCTTATACGCGGGCGTAGTCTTATGCATGGGAGTCGTCTTAATTCTATATTTTAACTGGAAAAGTTGGGGGTCGTCTTATACACCCAGTCGTCTTATAAGCCGGAATATACGGTAGATGGAGGGAGCATGTTTTTCCTTCCAACACTGCTATAATGGTGAGTTCCAGGGAACCTTGAATATATTATTTCTAATGTTACATGCAGAAATAATGATAAAAATCCCTTTTCCTATTTTAAATTTGCTCAGACTTTTGTTTATGCCTTTTTTCTAACTTGCACACTTATTAATTTGACGAGTTGAGACAATTCCGTCTACTGACTGAATCATGGTTATGTGCATTTTTTTTTCAATTATACAAATTAAATACGAGGGGTATTTTTAAAGTAAGGTCCGTTTTGTTGTAGACGCTAGTAGTTCTCGCGCATTCCGCAACAAGCGCCTGCGTCGTGTACCGGCATGCCTCAGGAACAACTGTGCTCAGTTTCCGCTCTGTAGCTAACCTGTACGGTTCTGTTCTGTACTTTAAAAATGTTTAAGACTATCAACTCACCCTCCGCATGTGAGATTCACTCAGTGATACGGTTTTTGTCAGCAAGGAAATTCATCGACAGATTTGTGAAGTGTACGGTGATACTGTTATGAGTGAAAGCAAAGTGCGTAAGTGGGTACGACAATTCAAAAATGGCCGTGACAACGTCCATGATGAGGACCGCTCCGGTCGCCCTTCTTTGATTACAGACGATTTGGTTATCGGAGCAGGCGGCAAGTTTTTATGAAGAGGGTATTTTAAAATTGGTTCAGAGGTATGATAACTGTTTGAACAAACTTGGCAACTATGTCGAAAAATAGAGTGAACTATGTACTTTCTGAAAATAAATTTACTTTTTTGAAATAAATTTTCGTTGTATACTTATGTTCAAACGGACCTTACTTTAAAAATACCCCTCGTACAATTAGTTTGTATTTAAAATATATGAATCATTTAACATATAATTTATTTTTGGGATGCCACACCAGTCTTGCAAATATTTGAGACAAGACATGCTTTTTCTTGCAAAAGGTCTGAAAAGATGTGATAAGGCTATCTTCATTGAAACCATCAATTCCAATGAAACTTCTTTGAATTCCTAAACACGAGTCACATTGTCTTCAGAGTGTAAACAGAAAACAGGCTTGAATAAATTAATGGAAATTTGGAACAACATAAACATCCATTCAAAATTACTTTTGTTTTTCAGACAGTTGATAACATACTCCAAACTGTTTTTTTAAAGGGTTTCATTTTTTAAACTGCTATTCTTGCAAATAACTAGCAAAGGACTGGATTTAAGTGCACAGAGAAGGAAACCATGCATACTGGCAGCATTCTCTAAAAACCTTTTTATGCTGCAATGCATAACACCCAAGAGATTTCATTTTAGTTGGACTTCTTTAACAATTGTTTACTGAAAAGATTCAGTCAATGGAAACATTGAGGACCACAGTTAACAAAGAACAAAAGACAAAAAAAAAAGATTCCATGTGAATTCAGGCAGTCTCCAAGTTGCAAACAAGATCAGTTCTGTATGTCTGTTCTTAAGTTGAGCTTGTATGTAAGTCAGAACAGGCACATTTTAAAAAGTGTAACTTCATCCTTGTATTAGTTTTTGAGAACATAGGGGAGGATAACATCCCTGTTGTGTTTCTTTTGCTATCTGTGCCCCTGTTCAGAAGATGACACATAATTTCCTGTCCCTGTGATATTTGGATTTTGAAAAAAAATGGCTTGTTGTGGAAACAAGGATTGGTGAGAAAGCTTCAGCTGAAGCATCTTCCCCATGACAACTCATTCAGGAGTGAATTTCCCTTCAGAGGGGTAGATTTCTCTCACTTACTGTTGTCTTACTCCCATTTATAACTGAGTCAGATGATTGTAACTCGGGGACTATCTGTAAAAAATAGCCTATTCATGTCAAGTCTGTAAGGAAACCTTTTTCTGATAGCATTTTTAAATACAATATTGTGGGGGTGTATTTGTGTCACCCTTGACAGCATTCATCCTTTTTACAATTGTTCAAAGGAAATACTGCAATTTCATTTTTAATTTAAAAGAAAACCATACCACCAACCTCCATCCATCTTTTGGAAGATAACTAAAGGCTCCATCTATAACACTTGCAAAGAACTGTCCTCCTGTGATGAAGAGTGTATTTATAGTTACTAATCTGCCTCTTAGATGAGGTGGAGCAACTTCCGCAATGTATACTGGAACTGTCATAGAAGCAATACCTAGAAGAAGAACAAAAATGAATGAAGATTGTTTAATAGAACCCTGCATGCCATGAATATTATTATTATTATTATTATTATTATTATTATTATTATTATTACTATTAAGACACAAAACCTATAAAGATGAGAAAGATTTTGAGTATTGTAGTAGGTAATCAAACCAAAGAATTTGCAGGCAATATTAATAATATTATATATATGTACAACTCCTCTGCAATAGGCAATCAGGGTGATATCAGTCACATGACAATAAAAGGATAGTGTTAACACAAACCAAAACACTGTTTGCCATTGAGGTCACTAAAGGAAGAAAATGGAAAATGAAGTTGTAATATTGTTTCATTGGAGGATAGTTATATTCCACCCTTTGCACTATTAACATGAAAATTACCAAAACACAGCATACCAACATACTACAGCAAGCAACAAATAAATAACTACAAGCTGATGAATTATTAAAAATCTAGGTTCTTGTGGATTTTTTCGGGCTATATGGCCATGTTCTAGAGGCATTTTCTCCTGACGTTTCGCCTGCATCTATGGCAAGCATCCTCAGAGGTAGTGAGGTCTGTTGGAATTAGGAAAATGGGTTTATATATCTGTGGAATGACTGGGGTGGGGCAAAGAGCTCATCTCTGCTGGAGCTAGGTGTGAATGTTTCAACTGACCACCTTCATTAGCATTTGAAGGCCTGGCTGAGCCTGGGGGAATCTTTTGTTGAGAGGTGTTAAGATGTGCCTGGTTGTTTCCTCTCTGTTGTAATTTTAGAGTTTTTTAATACTGGTAGCCAGATTTTGTTCATTTTCATGGTCTCCTCCTTTCTGTTGAAATTGTCCACATGCTTGTGGATTTCAATGGCTTCTCTGTGTAGTCTGACATGGTGGTTGTTGGAGTGGTCCAGCATTTCTGTGTTCTCAAATATTAAAAATCTATTTTAGTACATATATTCTGCCATTCAGTTCTACAAAGTATTTACTAAGGGCATGTCTACACTGGTCACTAAATCAGGGGCCAGATGCAGCCGCTGTGACACTGTGTTGGTATCCAGTCTAGCTGGCCTACACTACACTGGACCCACTGGACCGTAAGCTCACTTTCCATGTCACTGCCACTGCTCCCAGCCAGTCAAAGGGCCCTCATTGTCACTGTCCCATTCTGACATCAGCAGAGGCACCTCAACAGCACAACCAACAAGATGAGTGAACGGGGCACCCATAACGACCAGAACTCCAAATGGAATTCCAGAAGTGGCATAGGCACAATCCATCCTATTTCCCTGTACTGTTGGGGGTGTGTTGAATGCGATTTTCCTGCTTCTTGGCAGGAGGTTGGACTAGATGGCCCATGAGGTCTCTTCCAACTCTATGTTTCTATAATGAGTGCAGGGAAAGGTTTATGCTACTCATATTTCATCTGAACAGTGGATAGTCTGAATCAGATCCGATTCTGAATTTGACTCAAAGCTTAGAATACTCCAAAGTTTCCAGTACGCTCCAGAACAGGGGTCCTCAAAGTAAGCCCCGGGGGACAGATACAGCCCTCCAAGGTCATTTACCCGGCCCTCGCTCCGGGTCAACCTAAGTCTGAAACTACTTGAAAGCACACAACAAAAACAATCCTATCTCATCAGCCCAAAGCAGGCCCACACTTCCCATTGAAATATTAATAAGCTTATATTTGTTTAAATTGTTCTTTATTTTAATTATTGTATTGTTTTTAAGTGTTTTTTGCACTACAAATAAGATATGTACAGTGTGCATAGGAATTCATTCATTTTTTTTTCACATTATAATCCGGCCCTCTGTTTGAGGGACTTCACTGGCCCTCTGTTTAAAAAGTCTGAGGACCCCTGCTCCAGAATATACCTCAACTTTGCCCAACATGGGGCAAACTCAGTTTAACCTTCAAAAGCATGTGATACTCATTAGAAGCTGACAAAAGTCCTGAGGACCACCAGCAGTGGATTTGAAGTGAACGAAGTTTTTTTGCTATGTCGGCTCACCCTCAGTATTAACAAATGCATGTACCTAAAATCAACTGACCTTTAAAGTACATAAGGGGGAGGGGTAACATTAACCATGAGTAAAGTATTCAGTGACACTTTATAATTGTATACTTCCACCAATAATTAACTATAAGATTAACAACCACTTTCATTATTTAAGACCTAGAATCTCACCAGATTTCCTGAGCAGCTGACAAAAAGTAAAATAACTGGTTTATATGGCTGTGTCGAAACACCGATGTAACCGTGCATTTTCTGCCTAGGTGTAGTATCTTATATTTATTCTTGTTGAAATTTATTTTGTTAGATTTGGCCCAGCTCTCTAATCTGGTAAGGTCATTTTGAATTTTGATCCTGTCCTATGGAATATTAGCTATCTCTCCTAATTTGGTGTCATTAATAAAGATACTGAACACTACTGGGCCCAGGACTGAACTCTGGAGCACTCCACTAGTCACTTCTTTCTAGGATGAAGAGGAACCATTGGTGAGCACCATTTGGGTTCGGCTGCTTGACCAATTACAGATCTACCTCAAACATGTGTTAGAAATAACAGGTGTAATTAAAAGTTCAGTAGTTATTATGGGAAAGCAAATGTTTAAAGACAATCTGAAGTTTAAGATTTATACATATGTCAATATTTCTGCACAAGAAGGAATGAAACATATTTCCATAAACATATCTCCATAAATGGTCACTAAAAGATGTGGATAGCTGACTTCAAAGTAAAGTAGCATTCCTTATTACCTGCTTTAACAAATCTACTAATGTCACATAAAGTAGCAGCGTGTTAATACAAATGAATGCTACTAGCTCAATAAGAGGAATTATCCTAGTGTTCTACAAGAGGGTGTTTTAAATTACACATAGACATTAACTGAGATGAACTCTTTTGTTAATCTAAATAAATATAATATCTGTGTGAAAATGTATCAGCTTCATTATTTACAAGTAATTAGAATATCACAGCCCATGATCTAGGTCATTTTTCCCCGCAGTATTACACACTTTTACACAAAATTACATTCAGGCTATGTATAAATTGTATGTGTGATGAATAAATGAATTTTGTGTTTAGACGTGGGTATGGAACCCACATTGATACACAAAAATCATTTATTTTTCACTTTTTGGGTGGGGGGAATTCTGGAAAACCTATATTTGCATATACATATATCATGAGACACCATGGAGATGGGCTTCAAGGCATCTTATGATGTATGTATATGCAAATACAGGTTTTCCAAAATCAAACAAGAAATCCAAAGCACCTCTGATTCCAAACATTTCAAATAAGGGATAGGGTTAGGGTTAGGGTTAGGTATATTAATTCATAATTTTAATATTTTGAGATTTTATAGAATCAAAACTGCCTACAATATAATCTTTATGGCAAATCTGAAGAGGACAGAGTCAAAGAATCTTTCAAATCCTGCTTCAGACCTAAATGCTTTCAGTTATTTTAGATATTCCCATACTGATGACGTAACAGATTTTATTGAGTATTAAATTTTGAGTCCGTGCCTTCAGCGTTTATTTTGCTACCCTTCCTATACTTCTAGACATAGAAGTTTATTGAGAACACAAACATAAAGACATTTTCATCAATAATACTCTTTCAACGTGCTGATGAAATGTACCTTAAGTGTTGAATCGGTGTCATACTTACTGAAGGGAAAATAAGGGAAAGGAGATTGGGTTAAAGAGAGTGCTTAAAAAGGCATAAAAATGTTTCAATTGCGTGTATTTCTACAAATGATAACCAAAGGAAAACTGCAAGTATTTTATCAGACCTACATCACTTAGGCCTTTATGAATCACAGCATTAACTTTGAATTTTGCTCACAAAAGGATCAATAAGCCATCCTACAAAAAGGGGGGCAGGAGGACATATTTTTGATTTCTCATTTGAAAAGTTGTAGTAGCTGGTTGAATTTTTTCCACTTTGAGAAGCCACTTTGCAGACTGATCTGCTACAGCTCTGCTGCAATGCATTTCACTGCTCAATTTCAACTGAAAGTAGAGATAAAGGGATTTAAAAGGCTGTTATATTGTGGTATTGATTGCTGCTTGACATACCATCATCTAGCTTTGTTTTCTAAATTACACACAAGAGCCTAACCACAATATGTTGCCATTTTTGGAACTTCATTTTGAGTATTCATTTAGCCCCAAAGAAGAGCCATTTACACTCAGTCCTCGCTTAGAAATAAAAGTCGGTGAGTGGCCCTGGGCAAAGAACTCTCCCTGACTAGCCTCCCTTTCAGAGATGTTTTAATGGAGAGAATTAACTGCAGGTTATTGCAAACACCTAAATATAATATAATTTCACCTGACTAGAATAAAATAATATCAAAAGAAACTGAAAAGCAAGAAGACAGCAAAAAAAAAAGTTTACCTATACCAAACTGTGTTGATCTTAACTTCTCCTAAAAGCTTCATCTTTTAAGAAAACAAAATCTTCATTTCTATCTTATTGGCAAACCGTTTTTGTTTTGTCCAGTACTAAATCCAATATGTTCATGGTGAAGCTGGCCCAGACACACTTCACCATTTGATCAGCCTGCCATATTGGCTGCCATGGCAAACACTTACTGTGATGCAGGAATATAGATGTGGCCCCTCTAAGTTATGGATTCCTCTGAAGCCACATATGAGCAACAGAAGAAGATGCAGCACAGATGCAGTCCCCCTACCTTACATAAATGGTTTCAAAAGTCCTGTAAACTTTCATTGGTTCTACTATGTATAGTTGATATGGTGGGAAGGAGAAAATACCTCTGAGGATGCTTGCCATAGATGCAGGCGAAACATCAGGAGAGAATGCCTCAAGAACATGGCCATATAGCCCGAAAAAACCTACAACAACTCAGTGATTCCAGCCATGAAAGCCTTCGAACCTCTGAGGATGCTTGCCATACATGTAGGCGAAACGTCAGGAGAAAATGCCTCTAGAACATGGCCATATAGCCCCAAAAAACCTACAACAACC